CCAGGGAGGAAGACAGGAGTTCCCTGAATCCTCAGACGAAGGCCATGCCCACACGGAGGCGTCTCATTGGCTATGGCTTGATTGACAGGCTAGACTCCACCCCTTCGCAAGTTGACAGGAGATTATGTAACTGCCACAGTTAGGAAAGAAAGAGGACCGGAAACAGGGCAGCGACTGCACTGAGAAGAGTGGGATGGGTGAGCTGAATCAGAATGTGTGTATTATTGAACGCAAACCTGTGATCTGCCCCGTAAACCTCTGCCCACTCCACAACATATGTTTTTTAAAAAGACAGAGAAAATGCCACCTGGTCTGGCACCACCATTGTTTCACAATTGTCTGCTTGAGCGATTGTTGCGGCCATGATGTCATCCGTCTTCTTGGGGGTCTTCCTCTCGTTGGCTGATCCTCGATTTCAGTAAGCAGAGCATCCTTCTGAAGGGAGTGTTCCCTCCTGGGGAGACAAAGTCTCGCCATGACTGCTTCCAGTGGCAGTCTGGCTGCACTTCCTCCCTATGGATTGGTGGGTCTCTCCAGTAGCGTATGGTGATTGCGATATTTCTGCACGACCGTCATTCAAAGGCAGCAACTCTGCTCGGGCCTTCTGGAGTCCTCGTCCAGCTTTCTTAAGCCCAGGAGGCAATTGAAAGGCCTCGTGCTTGGGTCCGATATACCGAGTCCTCAGATAAAATGGCATTGTTGTCCTCGCCCAAATGACACATTGCATGGGGCAAACCTGCCGCTAAAGACTGGTGGCCTCAACAGGATTCAGGAAGCTGCATTACGTACAAGCTGTCAGGTTCTATGGAGTCAGAGAATCATTGTTTAGGGGAACAGACAGACAAAGAACCATTACAGTCCAGTGAGGTAGGGTGGTGGTTGTTGGTAGAAGCCGAGTTGGTTCCAACCCATAGCACAACAGAATGAGACACTGCTCGGTCCCCGCACTATCCTCACAGTGTCCCTGTGCTTGACGCCGGTGTTGCAGCCACGGTGTCCATCCATCTCCTTGAGGGCCTCCCTCTTGTTCAGTGCACCTCTGCTTTACCAAACGTGACGTCCTTCTCCAGGCCTGGTCTCTCCTGACAACATGTCCAAATGATGAAAGAAGAAGCCTCACTATGCTTGCCTCTAAGGAGCACCCGGGTCAAAATTCCCAGACATCGATTCTTCTTTGGTCTTCCTTACACATTGTTCAACTTTTTTTTTTTAAGAATATTTTATTGGGGGCTCTCACAGTTCTTAAAACAATCCATATATCAATTCTATCAAGCATATTTGTACATATTTTGCCATAATTATATTCTAAACATTTACTTTCTATTTGAGCCTTTGGTATCAGCTCCTCTTTTTTCCCTTCCCCACACCCCTGACCCCTTGATAAATTATGATCATTTTCATATCTTACACTGACCGCCGTCTCCCTTCCCCCACTGTTCCTGTTTTTTATCCCCCTGGGGGAGGTGTGGTTATGTGTGGATAATTGTAATCGGTTCCCCCTTTCTCCCCTCCTCTCCCCCTACCCTCCTG